CTTTGGCCAAAGATAAGGTCATTAATTACACTGGGATTAGAAAACAGTCCGGGCCCAGCGTGGCTTGGCTCGCCATCAATTAAAGTCCTCAGAACCCTGGCCTGGCTGAGCATCGAGCCGAGAGCTTGAGCTGGAGGAGCTCTGTGTCCTTGCTGACAGGGCACTGCCTGTCCTCGGAGGAGCCCCCTCCCCTGGGCACTGGTATTTTGGCACAGCACTGGGGTGGGTTCCTGTCCCTGGTCACCGGCAGGGCTGTGTGAGAGGCAGAGCTGCTGATGCAGGTCCCAGGGGACACCCGTGGGATGCCCCAGGAGGAGCACAGGCACCGGGGGCAGCCAGTTTGGCACAAAATCTTGTGTCCAGCAGTGAGAGGAAATGGCTCATCCATGCAGTGCTGCCCTTTGCTGGGGCCGGGATGTGCCGCTTGCTCTGCCCTGCCAGACCCCACAGTGAGGAGCAGTCAGGGCTGGGACATGTCACGAGTTTGGCCTCGTCCCTCCCCTCGCAAGGAAGAGTCACTGTGAGGGAGGTGGGGGGACACTGTGGGCTCTGTGCCAGGGACCGACCGGCGTGGGGGCACCAGGGCGCAGCTGCCACCTCACCCAGCACCGGTGACCAGCTGGTGTCTGTGCCCCTGTTCACTGGTGGGTTTAAAGCATCCGGCTGTCCCTTTACTCCCGTTGGAGGTCCCGGCTGGTGATGCTGCCCTGGCTCTTCCCACCCCAGTTCCCACACTGCGAGGATGGTCCTGCACCGCTGCCTCAAACGGGCCGGGGACCATCTGGGGGACGGTGTCACCCGGGGCCATCGGCTCCTGCAGACACGCGGCAGCTGCAGGAGCCGAACTGAGCCGTGTCCTGGGCTCATCTTCACTTCCCAGGTGGGCTCGTGGTGTCGCAGAGCACCGGTGGGGGGGTTTAACGGAGCCCTGGGTGGTGGGTGCGGTGGGAGGGAGCCCTCAGGTTCCACTGGGGCTCAGCAGGGCTCGGTGGCACCGCTGGCACCGCTGCTGTGGGTGCTGGTGGATGAAGGGAACTAAAGGGGAACTCGAGGCACGGCTGGGGCACGGAGAGCTGGGAGCAGGGCAGGGTGTGGGGGGATCCTGTGGCCCAGCCGGTGCCTCGGCAGCGTTTTGGGTGGCTGTGGTGAAGCCGGGGGTGAGGCCATGTCGCAAGAGCCTAAAAATAAACGGAGCTGTTGGCCAGGGCTGGGCAGCAGCGAGTGCCCCATCCCGCGCCGCGCGGGACTTGGGTGGATTTGGCGGCAAAGCCTGGGTGGATCCTGGCTGGATCCTGGCACTGGGCCCAGGAAATGCCGGTATCCGAAGGGCTGGGGGCTCTGCCACCTCTTTGTCCCATTTTTGTGCTGCTGCCCCGTGACTGGGGGTACCCGTGCAAGTTTGGGGATGTGTGAGCTGAGCTGGGCTGCGGGGGCAGGTGGGTGGGATTGGTGTCCCCATCTTGGCACCCTGAGGGATTCAGGGCAGGAGTCCACAGTTCAGGGGGCTGTGGGGACCCTGCCCATGTGCCCTCCAGCACGTGCTGGATGCAGTGGTGGTCACCCATTGTCCAGGTGGGGAAACTGAGGCACGGGAGTGCTGCTGCTTGCAGGAGGCTCTGGGGTCCTGGTGTCACCTGTGGGGTGTTATCCCCTGGCAGTGGGGCAGCGAGGGGGGGTCAGCAGTGCCGGGAGCTGCCTGTGGGCCAGGCGGGAAAGGCGGGAAAGGTGGCGGGAAGGAGAGGGCTGGCAGGACACCAAACCCCAGGGGACTTGGCCCTGTGCCCCAGGAGCGTGGCTGTGCTGAAGTGAGTCCTGGGGTGTCCCCATGGGGGTTGTCACAGCCTGTGCCAAGGGCTGACCCGGGGGTCCAGCACTGCAGGGGCCCTGTCGGGTACTCCCCCAGCTCGGGGGGCTGCAGGTGGGGCTGTGAGGCCGAGCAGGGCCCCCCCACGGTGTAGCCGGTGTGAGTGGGGCCAGCGTGGCCGCGTTGTCGCGGTGTCACAGGGCCATCTGCCGGCAAAGGCACCGGGCCCGTGGCAGCCAGCCATGGCCTCCAGCAGCATCCCAGTCCTCCCAGTCTGCAGCTGATGGGGCACTGGGGAAGGAGGATGGGCCGGCTTGGGGGCAGCAGTGGGGGCAGCCCCACCCTGGGGGGCACCCTGGACTGTTTACCCTCCAGGAGTTCCTGATCACCAGCAGTATCACAGCACGGTGGAGACTTGGGAAGTGGGATTTGTCCCACAGGGATGGGTCCCCACGGAATCTTGGAGAGGGGACATGCTCCCTGAGGGGGTTCAGTCAGGGGGTCTCATGGATGGGACTCAGGAGGGCTGGACAGTGGGTGCCTCCCAGGATGGGGACACGGCAGAGACAGCCCCACTCTGGCCTTGAACAGATTAAATGTCATTTTATTTCACACCCCAAAAAAAAAAA